CAATATGATTTCAGTGGTTAGTGTTGGGATTCTTTTTGCACATTTTTATGTGTGTATGGTTGTGGGGTTGGTTATGGTATGCCGATAGCTGGTTGGCTTGGTTGTCTTTTTGTGTGTTTAAAAGCCACTGCCAAGTCAGTGGCATAATACGGTGGAAGTAACTTTGATGCTGAAAGCAACAAAAACAATGGCAACAATTTACCTATGCGATTGTTTTGTTTATTTTCAACGGCGTTTTATTTGTTATTGTTTTCATGTCACGTTTAAGATACGCGCATCTTGACACTATGACATGCATTCGCTGTGTGTGTGTGAAAGGCCGGGAATGCCCGACAGTTTAAAATGCCTGAAAGAGTTTGAAAGAAACAGAGTGTAAGGAGGAGTATGAATGAAATGACGGCCACATATGATATATGGATAAGGTTGTTAATCCATTTTGTTGTTAAGTAATTATTGTCGGATTTTATTGTAAACCAACAATAAAACGCGGACACGGTAAAAATAATTATTTAATTAGATGGGGGATTTTTGACGGATTATTATTTTTCAGGCCTGTGCCAAATTATGGGAATTAGATAAAGTTTTTTTTAATGTGTAGGTGGTATAATTTGAAATATAGCCAAGAGGCATAACAAATTTATATAATAAATTATCTGAGGCCTATTTTTTATATAAAAAACATTTCTCATTTACTGAAGGCTGATTTTTCTTAAGAAAACTGAGGTCAAATGAGGCACATTAATTAAGGCCTCAGATTTTTGCTATAGAAGAAAAGAAGACCTGATTTGTTTCTATATTGAAGAAACTACCTGATTAATTGACACCGCCGATTTTTTTATACCCTTCACCATACCATGGCACAGGGTATTATGTCTTTGTGCATATGTTTGTAACAGGCAAAATTAAACGAGATAGACACATGTTTCCTTTTGAGAATATGTATAGAATCACTTTCTAAGTCGATTTATGCATGTCCGTCCGTCTGTCTGTCCATGTTAAATTTTAAACCAAGTACAGGTCGCATTTATGATCCGATTTGGATGAGATTTGGCACAGGTCACTTAATTGGCCCAAGGTCGAACCCTATAGAAATTGAGAAAAATCGGTTCAGATTTAGATATAGCTCCCATATATATTTTCGACCGATTTAAGGTAAATGGTGTACCAAAGTCCCTATATATCTTTCGATTTGCACGAAATTTGACATAGCGTAATGAATTAGGTCTAGAATGATGTGTTTTGAGTTTCCTGAAAATCGGTTCAGATTTAAATATGGCTCCCATATATATTTTCGTCCGATTTAAGGTAAATGGTGTACCAAAGGTCCTACATATCTTTCGATTTGCACGAAATTTGGCACAGCGTACTGAATTGAGCCTAGAATGATGTGTTAAAATTTCTTGAAAATCGGTTCAGATTTAGATATGGCTCCCATATATATTTTGTCCGATTTGATGTAAATGGTGGCATAAAGTCTCCATATATCTTTCGATTTGAACGAAATTTGGCATAGCGTACTGAATTGAGCCTAGAATTATGTGAAAATTGTGAAAATCGGATCAGATTTATATATAGCTCCCATATATATTTTCCTCCGATTTTAAATAAATGGTGCACCAAAGACTCATAGTTAGGCCGATTGACAAAAAATTTTGCACTTAAAATAGTGTAGCCAAACGTGTGTCAAGTTTTGTTGGAATCGGTCCAGATTTAGATATGCTCATATGCAATTCATCCAATTTAATGTTAATGGCCCTTCTGTTAGGATGCATTATTTTAATATACCCATAGTGGTGAAGGGTATCATATAGTCGGTCCCGTCCGACTTTACTACTTTCCTTACTGATTTCTATTTAAAATAATGCTTCAGATGAACCGAGGTTACTGATTTTTCTATAAAAAAATACCTGATAAATTGAGATCTGAATTTTTTCTTTGAAAAATCAATTTACGAGGTCCGATTTTTTCTATAGAAAAAATACCTCAGAAAATGAGGTCTGTTTTTTTCTATATCAAAAAATACTTCAAAAACTGAAGTCTAATTTTTTCTCTAAAAAATACTCCAGGAAGCTAATTTTTTCTTTAGAAAACTATACCCCAGAAAGGGAGGTGTGATTTTTTCTATACAAAATACCACAGATAAATTGAAGTCTAAATTTTGATATATATTCATCTTTTTCACATATATTGCATTTCAGGCATCAACCAATTACCTCTTCAAAAAATTACCACTTCGAAAAAACAATAAGACAAATTTTCTCCTTAGCATCTTCTTAAATTCCACGCCACCACAGAAATAACTTCAGGCCACAAAAATATGTTGTTGACAATTTCCATTAATTATTATTATGTTTATAAACATTGCTGTTGGCATTTTTGTCGAGCTTCTGCTGTGAACTGCAAAATCTGTCATTAAGGTAACTACAAAATGCCATTATTTTAACATTAACATGATTTACAACAGCCACAATTACACCTTGTTTTTATGGCAATGCGTTATGACTCTTTTTTGTTCGATGTGGTTGCTTCTTCTTGTTCTTCTTTGTGGACAACAATTCAAGTTACTGACCCTACTTAAATATTCACATACAAATAATAAAAAAATAAATTGCCAACTTGTGACAGTTTTGCAAAAGGAGTTTGTCACTGCCATCAGCTACAAGCCCAATCGCCAAAAGTTTGCTGAATAACCACCCCGAGTGAATGGCGGGACGATAGTTATCGTTGACAGATTACAGGTTGAAATTTAATGCACTGCACTTAAATGTCATCGTATTGCAAAGTACTTGCCTACCTACCTGTCACCTCTTTCGAGTGATAAGTTTTTTTTTCCAAGGTCATGGCAATGCCAGGGTATACTTTTTGTTTTAAATGTGCTCTGGTTTTTTATGTAAATTGTAGAGTTTCAGGTGATCGCATTTGATACTGGAAGTGCAAAAGCAGACTGGTATGGAAACAATATTGTTTTTCACTGTGAAGGTCATGTGGGCTAAAATGTCATTTGGTATTCTTGTCACCTTTATTTATTTTCAAGATAATCATAAAGGATTGTTATTTATTTTGACATATATGTTTTATGCAACAAAGTAATGCATTTTAATGTAAAATGAATGAAGATTTTCTATAGAAAAAAAGCTGAGGCCTCTGGTGAAGAGCCAATTTTTTCTATAGAAAAAAATCTGAGACCTCAGTTCATCCGAGGCATTTTTTCTATAGAAAAAAATCTGGCAAGTTTCCTTGAAATCGGTTCAGACATATAGCATAGCTTCCATATATAATTTCAACCTATTCGTGTTAATTGTTCACCAAATAATCAATGGGTGTCTGATTGAGATTAAATTTTAAACAGTGCAGCATAAAGTGCAGCATGTGTCAAGTTTGCTTTAAATCGATTTACAAAATTTAGCATAGGTTGCAGAATAACATGTGTAGGGGTTGCTGTATGTCGGTTTACATAGCTGTAGATAAATATCACATGTTTATATTCGTTCAATTTCACATTAATGCTCTTTCGAAGAGGCGACGTCTGTTAGGATACATATGTAGAATATACCCAGAGTGGTGAAGGGTATCATGTAGTCGGCCCAGTCCGAGTTTACACCTTTCCCTACTGATTTATTATAAGGGATATTTTGTGCTTTTCATGCTATGGCGTACATTATATCTCCAAGAAAACAGGTTCTTGAGAAGGCAGTAATATGGTTTTCGACTTCTGGGAGAATAAAATATCTCTTCCAGACAAGTTCAAAAGTTTTATTTCATTTTCCAAACGAAGAAGTTGTAATTTTAAATTTATGCTTGTGATATGGCAATATAATTCCTAGCTGATAATTTGGTATATAGGAACTTTTTTATACAGACCCCAAAATATCGTTTCAGATTTTAATGACTGTAATTACGGAATTTGGGCTCCCAGATCAATCTTCTAGAAAAGAACATTTTCATTATAAACATTTACAGATTTTGTTTTGGTTCCTTGTTCAAGCATTTTCTCAAAAGAAGGAAATCAGTAGTTTCGGATGAAATTCACAATATTTCAAAAAAAAGGGCGTACCGTTATATGGGGTTCATAGCTAAAGATAGATCAATGGTAATGATTTTTCGACGGAATATTTGCAATCCAATGATATTCGAATATATCAAATAAGACCAATTCAGTTTTAAAAAACTCTCTGAAATCGTCAGAATTACGAATATTGGCGTGTATCGATATTTGTGTGATATAACTAATTTCAATTCAAACGATAGCTATTGGCATTATGTAGACATAATGATGTCCATTGACCTTGACCATTTTGCAACCTTCTTAGGTTTTATTATTAATTATCTTGTCAATTGAATAGGAAATTATGAATTATAAGCTTTTTTACTCATTATCAATACAAATCCAATGGGAAAAATATAAAAAATATATAATACTTCAATTAACTAATATTCTTTATGCGAACTTATAACTTACCCCGTGATCAAGACATATTTAATCTATTTAACGATAATTAAATAAAAAATAGTTTGATATTTTCCAGACATGCAATTTATTTTGATTCCCCTCATTTTAATAATGGATAATTGTTAAAATACCCTATTTATATTGTTATTGTGCACTTTGTGAATGGCGTCGAAGATTTTTTTTTTTTTTTTTTGTAAAAACAAAATAATTTCCATTATGGAAGATTTTTTAATGAAAACATACAAATATAATTAAAGCAATATAAATAAAACGTTAAATTATGCGACCGCCGATATATAGTAATAATAAAAGAAATCAACCTAAATAAGTCTCATCTTGAGTGGCAACATCACATACCATCTCCTTTTCTGAAATTGTATAATTATTGTATGTAATAATTATATGAAACACCTCTCCCTTGAACTTGTTATTTTGTATGCGCACATTCCATTGCGTACTTAATTAAGATAATAAACACAAAAATATTTCAATTTAAAAATTCTTCTTATTAATGAGACATTTTTGATTTTGTTTTTATTTTTACTTACAGGATCTTTACTACATCGCATTTGGCTATCCCGAAAAGGAATTAAATAATGACATTGCTTTGGTGACTGGTGGCGGCAGTGGTTTAGGTCGTTTGCTGTCGGTACGTTTAGGCAAAATGGGCACCAAAGTTGTCGTCTGGGATATCAATAAACAAGGTAAGTTTATGAAAAATAAACAAACGTTGGAAATTTATACAAAAATATATGAGGATGCGAAACCTTTATTATTTATTTATAAATTTTAATGGAACATAAATGGTTTTTTGTGTAGGGAGTCCACTATCGGAAGTCCACTATTAATAGCTGACCTCATTACTAATTAGTCCTTATTATAGAAGATATAATATCATCCAGATATTAATAACACAATATCTGGTATTTCTAAAAAGTCTTTTAAAATGTTAATCTTACTATAGTTTTATTTGACATGAAAGATCCTGGTATGCCACTGGAAAACGAAAACAAAAATTATTACAAAAAAAAAAAACATTTCATTGGGACACCTACACTAGAATCAATAAAAAAAGATGACATCAAGAGATTGTAGAATGCAGCTCTGTGACATATTTTCATGAAACAAGTAAAAACGGTGTTAAGTTTGGCCCAGCCAAATTGTTTATGCCCTCTACCATGGGGATGACATTCAAAATATCTGTAATTAATGAGGAGCTTCTAGCAGGATAGGACTTTGAATATACAGAAAAAGGTGTGAGAAAAATATGATTTAAATTCTCAAAATGCCTAATAGTGAAGTTACAGTTTTATATGCCAAAACGGGGATCTATATTAATAATTTTTGGTAGTAAAATTTGTCGGCCAAATGTTGAAAAAGGTGTCCAAAATTTCCAAAATAACGACATGGGCCAATATTCATAATTTTTAGTACGGAGATGTTATGTGTGGGCATCCCTAGATAAAGGATGAGCTCAACAATGAGAACTCAAAATACCAAATTACAGCCAATTCGATTAAGAACGTGTTATAAATCCCCAAAATACCCAATATTAGGGGGTACTATCATATGAGGCCTACACCAAAACGTGGACAGATATATCCCATTTGCAATATCAAACATCCTAAGAGTACTAGCAATTGGAATTTTTAACTGAACGCTATTAAAATATAGATCCATGTCAATGACTGTACTTTAGATATGTAATGAATGACTGTAATTTGTATAAAAGAACTTAACATAATTTTATATCTACTACACTTTATGTTTTGATTGATTTGACCCCGATCATCATCTAAATAGCCGTTGTAAGTATTTGAGCAGATTCAATTCACCCTGTAAAATTTGTGATGTTCTGTCTGTAATAATGGCCTCTGGAGCGACTAAAAATCTGACAAAAATAAAGTTTACGGTTCATTGTACCCCCTAGATAATACCTTAACATCGCCGAAAATTATAGACGTCGTCCTTGACAATAACCGGAACTTCATGTAAAATTTCAAAGCGATCAGCGCCACTTTTTCCGTCCTTTAGTGGGGATTGCCCCCTATTTAATAAGTAATACTGAACAATATCATAACACATAGACACAATCACCAAATATTAACTGATAGGGGTCTTCATTGGCCAGAACCGTTCTGCAAAATTTCGTGTCAAGTTATAATGGAACATCTACACTTGTAGTTTCGGCGAGGCCACTTCTGGGGTAACTCGGCATATAGAATTTTTAAAGACAAAAATGTACTTGCTGTATGGAAATACTTATTAATATAGGTCAAGTTTCGCAAAAGGAGTTTGTCTCTGCCATCAGCTGCAAGCCAATCGCCAAAAGTTCGATGTGTAGCCACCCTGGTGAATGGCGGGAAGATAGTTATCGTTGACAGATAACAGGTTGAAATTTAATGCACTGCACTTAAATGTCATCATATTGCAAAGTACTCGCCTGCCTGCCTGTCACCTTTTTATAGGAGTAAGTTTTTCCAAGGTCTTGTCAATGTCAGGGGTCTTCATTGGCCAGAACCCGTCCTACATGCAAAATTTCGTCTCAAATTATAATGGAACATCTACCCTTGTAGTTTCGGCGAGGCCACTTCTGGGGTAACTCGGCATATAGAATTTTTAAAGACATAAAATTAACTTGATGTATGAAAAAATACTTATTATTATAGGTCCATGTTTTGATGTATCCTCAAGAACATATATGTCGTGGTCCCTGGTCCTAGATGTACTTTCCAACCGAAAGGAATGTAATTTGGCATATTGAGAAGTGGTTGCAATATACAGATCCTTATATTAAATGTCGACGTGAATTTATGTTTCAAGATTTCCCCCCCTTAAACGTTTCTGCCAATTTTATGTATTTTCTGAGGTGATCCTATATAATTGTCCATACCAATTTTCGTCGGCGTATTTTCCAACCTAAGACTCCATAGTTTGGATAAAAACCCCCATGTAAAAAAATATTTAATATAGACCGATATTTGAAATCTCCCAACCTGTCTACGGTGTATAGAAAATCTTGTGCATATATGGAAGATTATTTTTTAGTCTCAAGTACATCGAGGACCTTTTGGGTATGTCTATTGATTCAAGATCGTATACGAGCACTACTAACATTATGGTGGCATTCTTGGTATTCTAAGGGGTTTGATAAGGCTCGATCAAAAGCTTGAGTTGCGTAGATCGTCCAAAAAGTCCGTTGTGCAACAGAACGTATTGCGTGTTTCTTTAACAACACTGGTCATATTTCGCTTGAACAACATAGGAGGTCAAATATAGGTGATACACCACATACTTTTGCCTGAAGAAGATATTCGGAAAAAGAACAAAGGAATATGAATAATTGGGTACACGGCAAGGCGAGTTCTAACACATCAGCTTAAATTAGTGCCAACAATACAAAAAGTAGAAATTATGGGACATCAGCAGTACTTCAAGAAGAAAACCTCGAAATATACCCTGGAGATTCCATTCTCGATCAGAATAAAACTATAAGTCAATTTAGCCACGTTTTTATACCCTCCACCATAGTATGGAGGGTATATTAATTTTGTCATTCCGTTTGTAACTCACCGAAATATTCATTTCCGACCCTATAAAGTATATATATTCTTGATCAGGGTAAAATTCTAAGACGATCTAGCCATGTCCGTCCGTCCGTCTGTTGTAATCACGCTATCTTCCGAAGGAATTTAGATAGGGTGCTGAAATTTTGCATAGGGTTGTCTTTTGTCTGCAGGCAGGTCAAGTTCGAAGATGGGATATATCGGTCCACGCTTAGGCATAGCTCCCATATAATGGTACCCCAAAATTTTCGGAATTTTGGGGTTCTTGAGCGCGTTTTTCAACCGAATTCGCTGTAATTTGGTACATTGGGTTCTTATTGGGTACTAAATGTCGCCACAAAAAATTATAAATATAGGTCCACTTTTTCTGGTAGCCCCCATATAACGGTACTTCCTAATTTTCAGTATTTTGGGGGTTTTGGTCGCATTTTCCACCAAATTGGCTGTAATTTAATACTTTGAGTTCTAAATAGTTTTCAAATCACTCCACAAAAATTATGAATATAGGTCCATTTTTTCTGGTAGCCCCCCATATAACGGTACCCCCAAATTTCGGTATTTTGGGGTTCTTGAGCGCGTTTTTCAACCGAATTCGCTGAAATTTGGTATATTGGGTTCTTATTGGGTACCAAATATCTCTACTAAAAATTATAAATATAACTCAATTTTTTTCTGTTAGCCCCGATATAAAGGTACCCCCAAATTTCGGCATTTGGAGGTTCTTGAGCGCGTTTTTCAAACGAAATCACTGAAATTTGGTATTTTGTAGCCGTATATGGAAACAAATCTCCCTACCAAAAATTATTAATAGTCAACCCCTTTTAGGCGTAGTCCCCATATAACCCCATTTTTATATTAATATAATTATCTGTTTTTTCCCGCGTTTTGGGTTTGGTTCTAACATTCTGTTGTAATCATTTCACCTGCGAAGGATATCGAGATAAAAAACTAGAACGTACGGTTCGATAATGAACTACATATGAACTATAACCCGTATTTAGACCTAGCCCCTGTGTGGGAGGTACCAGAACGAGTGGACCGATGTTCCCCATCTTCGAACTTGAACTAAGTTTGGAAGATGGCCAAAGTTTGGATGAAAATTTTCTGAAACAAATTTGATCCAAAGAAACATGGACCTAGAACCATTTTAACCGTGTCAAAGTGTATATGCCCTCATTATCCATAAAGCTGAGAGAATAATTGTCCATTAAAAATTTCTGAAATTTGTTTTATATTTTACATTGTGGTTTATATAACCGGTTTGTGGAAATGTCGATATAGGTCCACTTTTTGGTATTTTCCCTATACTTGTATTTCAAGTACCTGTCAGTATATATATGGTGGAGGGTATCCAAAGTTCGGCCCGGCCGAACTTAACGCTTTTTCACTTGTTTATATTACGAATACTGATCCACTTTTTTGGTTAGCTCTCATATAATGGTATCTCCCAAATTTCGATATTTAGGGGAGATATTGTAAATCTGGCCTGGCTGAAAATTTTTTCTTGATAATGATAAATATTGCAGTTTTAGTATTAATAGCACTCGTGAATTTTGATCATAGTGAAATTAAATTTATTCCTAATCGTCTGCTTTTTTAAAGCACAATAAAGCTTCAAAAATTTGCACATACATACAATACAACACTCCAAGGATTTATGATATTTGGGACATATCGGTCCACTCTTAGGATAACCACCACCCCATATAATATCCGCAATTTTATATTTGGGTTCTAAATTCATAAAAACCTCCTAGCAGATAACGTTGGAATTTATATGTATATATATATATATACAATGCCACCTATAGGTCTCATAAATAGATCTTCACTTATAATTTTTGTATTGAAATAAATAATTTGCTTATTTTTTCCATTCTCTGATTTTTTTGAATTTACTTTTTTCTCTTTCTAGGCATTGATGAAACCGTCAAAATGGTTCAAGACGCTGGCGGTTACTGTAAAGGTTATGTTGTTGATATTTCACGCAAAGAAGAAGTCTATAAAGCGGCGGAAGTCTTAAGACATGAAGTTGGTGATGTAAGTATATTAATATGTAATAACAATAATAATAACTAGTCATATTTTCATGATCACACAGACATACATACGTACATATGTATTTATGAATGAACTACATATGACGATGGCATTGTTAACCTTCTTAAGAAATAACATAAGTGCTCTTATTATTTATAATATTTTTAGTTTTGGTCTTTCCTCATACACCAACCAAGCAACGAACAATTATGTTAAGACATCTTTATAAAAAATAGCAAAAACAACAATTTCATATCATGTTATACATGACTTGATTTATAATCATAGTTACGACTAGTAGGTTATTACCGAAAGTAATAAGTTTCCCTATCTTGCTTGAGATATATGCTCATGCATATACTCATATGCTCTAAGTGCAGCAGCAAAAAAAGCAACAACAATAATATTATTATGATAAAGATTAATGTATATCCATTTAAGACATCAAGTCTTATTTTCATGGCATGACAACATGAAAAATGTCAAAGTCAACATGATATGTATGATAGGTTAGGTAGGCAAAATATGAAAAAAAATCACTTTAGGACAGACTTAGTTTTGTAAAATATAATTTTTGCGCCACAATAATAACAAGAAAATGTGAAAATAATACATCTTATCACGCAATCTGATGGGCTGTGAAGTTCCGAAAAAATAAAGCTTTGTTTAGCACATATTCCTCTTTAAACCGTGTGTGTAGATCTTTTTTAAAAACATATTCCTGTTTGGCAATACCTTGACCTAGTTTCCAACTTCTGATTGTCACGCTCTGCCTCCTTCTCTCTCTTTCATTCTTTCTTTTTGGTGGAAGGGGAGAATATCAGATTTTTTTAATTCAATTAAAAACGTATTTGGTTGATAATTATCTTTATTTGCTTATTAACATGATAAGTTTGTGAACTAGTTTTAAAGAAAGAAAAAAATCATATGTGATTTATTAAGGCTGCAACATACACCTTTCATTCCTTGAAGGGAAACTTGCAGTCAGGGAAGAAGCCTTCCAGTGAAGGGAACCTTATTAAATAAAACAACTCATTAGTCACAAAATAAACCAATTTAACAACAATCTTGATGAAGGCATCCTGCCATGGAATGTAAACATGTCGTGCACAGATATGTTAACAAAGGAAACGAAAGACTTAAGTCACAAACTCTGTTGAATACACAGAGAAGGGAAGAATGCTAATGTCCATATGGATATTTTCATAAGCTGAACGATGAAGAACAGAATATAATATTGAGTTTAAAAATTCATGGAAAGTCGGAGCTTGCTAAGTAAGAAATCCATGGCAAGTTAGTACACAAATTTTATTTTAAAAAAATATATATTTTTATACTCTACAAAACAATGTTGTAAGGATATTATAGCTTTGTGTGACCCACGAGTTTGTAACGCCGCGAACTATTGACCCAAGACATACATTTAAGTATACCGATCGTCATATCTCGACTAGCTGAGTCAATTGAGACATATGTGTCCGTCCGTCTGTCCATTATAATTTGTAAACACGATACAGGGCACAGTTGATGGACCAATTTTCAGTAAATTTTGCATGCAGGATGGATTCTGGGCAAAGAATACACCTATTGTTTTTGATAATTATCGGGTAATATTTAGGGGATGAAATGGATCTAAAACTATTAGAGACCACAATCATGACCCGAACACCACGAGAATGGGCTCTAGACTTAGAATAAGCATTGACAATTTTGATCAAGATCGGTCAATATTTACTAAATTTGTATTCTGGGGCGTATATCATAAACACGAGAAGTTGATAGTATATTCCAGAGAAGTGGTTGGCTTTTAAATTGATACCAATTATATGTTGTAAGTACCCGGATGTGGAAGTTGTACGCAAAATATTTAAAGGGGTCTATGTGTTATGATATTGTTTAATGTTACAATTACCCACTAGAGGGCGGAAATGTTGCTCTGATCTCTTTGAAATTTTACATGAAGTTCCGGTTATGGCCCTGGACGACTCCTATAATTTTCGGTGATGTTTAGATGATATTTAGGGGGTGCAATGAACGGAAAACTTTATCTTTGTCAGATTTCCTAATCGCTAGAGAGACCATTATTATATGCAGAACGTCACATATTTTACACGGTGAAGGGGATCTTATCAAATACTTAGAACGGTTGGTTAGATGATGATCGGTCAATATTTCGATGGTCAAATGAACACACATTTTTATTTAGGTAGTTAATATTCACCTCGGGAGAACAAGATTTGGCAAATATGCCAGGGCTAGATAGTGAAGCTTTTGACCTATAATCAGTCAAGGGGATGGAAGTATCGCCAAATATTGTCCAGGCTAAAAATATAGAACCGCAGAAAGATAGATTTTCTTGGTATTTTCATATAGTCGGCTCTGTCCGACTATACTGGCTTATATTCCTATTAAATGACTATTATTGTTTCGCTTTCAAGGATAGCCCCCGTATAACGCTATATCCTAAATTTCTGTACTTGGGTAAAGTTATTCAATTATTCAATGTCTTGGAGGGTTTGGATACGTTTTTAAGCTGATTTTTCTTACCGATGTGATTTTAATTTAATATATAGGGTTCTTGAAGGCTGTCATACACATATAAAGAACGTTATGTTTTGGTATAGTCCCATTTTCCCATGGAGGTAAAAAAATGCGGAACATTTTCTATATTGCTCCCAGTTATGATGTAGCCCCCCACATAAAGGTCCCGCTCCATTTTTGGCATTATTAACATTTTAACCAAATTTTAAAATAGCATTCATACAATTCTCCCATTTCATTACAAATTTGTTGTAGTTCCTACCCCAGTTTTCAAACCTGAGTGTCTGCAATTTGGAACATAATTTCTTTCAGAGCATGAATGACCTATTATCAATATATTGGTCCCGACCAAATGAAGAAATATTGAATAAACAACAAGTGGTGTTGGATGTAAAAAGATGTGTGTAAAATATGTTTTTCTACGATATTTTCAAAAAAACTCTGATAACATAAGAGCCGGACTTTCCGACTAATAAGCTGGGGTTCCATAACATTTTTTTTTCAACCGATCAGTGTGGCTTTTATAAGGAATATTTTTTCAAGGATAATCCTACCAATAAGCTTAGATTTTTTAGAAATATTTTTTACGAAATAGTATATTTATCCAACATTCATTAAAAATCTTTTTTCAAGGGTCATCCGACCTATAAGTGTGAACTTTTTTTAAGAATATTTTTAAAGTACCTTCCGATAAATAAATTTAAATATTTGTAGAATTTTGTTTTCAATGGTCATCCAACAAACGAATCTTTTAAATATAACAATCGTTAAAATAAACCACAAAATTTAAGTGCTACAGAATTCAACCGAAAAAGCCAACGACCCACTAGCATGTGCATTTTATTTAAATTTTTCTTTGCCATGTTTGTAACTGGTTTATTTTTGTAAAACAAATGCATTAAACAGAACACGAGCTGTCATTAAAAGCCAAATTATATTGGTTTTATATTTGGTGACAAGTATAAAACAACAACAAAACTCAGCACAGATGCAAACCACACCTTAATACTAAATTGTAACAAGCAACAATGAGAATATTTAAACGACATACTTAAACAATTGTTTAAAAATAAATTTTAAATGTTTTGAGGTTTCAAATTGATACCTCAGCTGCATGTAAAACTTTAAAAATATTTCAAATGAAGTGATTTCACCAAGTGATTTTACCAACATAGGTCCTTTCCTAATTTAACTGCTGACCTTGTGCCACATAAAGTTATCCTGCATAGCCGTATTAATTTTGCAGGAATGCCGAACGTAGACATGGTTTTAAACGCCTCTGAACGGATAGGGCTGTCGAATGCGGCTTTATAGTCGACAAATAGGTGGTATGAGTCGATAGGTTTTTCGTGGGTCTCTTCCAGGATTTGGCGCAGAGTGAAAATCCGGTCAATGGTGGATTTGCCAGGTCTGAAGCCGCATTGGTATGGTCCAATGATGTCATTGACCATTGGCTTCAATCGCTCACACAGCACACTGGATAGCACTTTATACGCAATGGGAAGGAGACTTATTCCTCTATAGTAGGCACATATCGTCTTATCTCCTTTTTTGTGCACGGGACACAGGATGCTGAGGTTCCAATCATTGCGCATGCATTCATCTAGCCAAATTGTACTAATTAGCTGGTGCATGCTCCTGACCAGCATCTGGCCAACAGTCTTGAATAGTTCGGCTAGTAACCCATCGGCTCCTGCTGCTTTGTTGTTCTTGAGCCGATTAATTGCTTTTATGACCTCATCTTGGCTAGGTAGTATACACTCTATACCATCATCTCTTATTAGTTCTGAGGTATCTTCTTCAACGCCACTATTTCATACCAGAAGCTTTTCAAAATGCTCCTTCCATATCCTCAACACGCTGTCTGTATCTGTCACCAGGTTTCCTTATTCATCTCTACAGGAGGATGTGCTGCACCAAAGCCTTCGGTTTGGTGTTTTATTCGTTGGTAAAATTTCAGGACTTCATTCTGACTCCTGTACATCTCGATTTGCTCACGCTCACATTTTTCTTGTTCTGTCTTCTTTTTTCTGAAAACACGTTTCTCCTCTCTCCTTTACCCCCTGATAATTCTCCATCACGTTACGTGTTGCTACTGTCTGCAGGGTTGCGTTTTTCACATCAGTAGCATTACGACACTCCTGATCGTACCATGGGTTTCTTGGTGGTGGTTTTTGGTACTCAAGTGTTGCTTTTGCTGCAGTTTGTAGGGAGTAGGCAATTCTTTGCCATTGTGCTTCTATATTGTTATCGGAACAAGAAGTGCCTTCTTCAAGCAGATGGGTAAGTTGAGCGGAGTAGGCCTCGGCTACCTGTTGTGTTTGCAGCTTTTCGACGTCGAGTTTCCTTGTTGTGTTAGATCGCACCATTGTAGCTACATTAAGTCGGGTGCGTAACTTGGCTGCCACAAGGTAATAGTCTGAATCGATATTCGCTCCTCGGATCGATCGGACGTCTAA